CTCTTCTTCTATCTCTCCTATTTCTTTCTCATGGTTTAGCGAAAATTATTATAAATTATGCAAAACAATGGTGGGATGAGAAGATAAGGTTGATCTCACATCAGAGATAATCAGAAGCAAAAACTAAGAGAGAAAATAGGAAAAAATTAGAGTTCAGCTTTATTTTTTTCTCTTTTTTTTTTGGTTTGGATTGAACGAGTGAGTGTAATTGAAATTGGTTAAAAATAGCTAGACGAGTCTATATATAAAATTTGAACAAGATTAGAAGTGATTTAAACTGGTTTCAGGTAAATAAATCAGACCTAAAAATTCAACTGCGACATGTGTATATTACGTTGTATATAGTCTTCATCAGTGTATATGACACATATATTTTTAAAGACGACTGTGTAAATCACATTGTATATCGTGAACATAAATTTTTATGGATATACACAAATATAATTTGTATATATTATATTATATATCATGTATATAATACATATTTTCATGGATATATACAGATACACATGATATACATGAGATATCACGGATGTACATGGAGATATACACGAGATACAATGGGGGATACACATGTGGAGTCGTCTTGAAACTTGAATTTTAAATCTAAAATGTGTTATACAAAGAAGGAAAATAAAATTTTGATATACTTTTTGATACACATATTATTATTATGTTATACAGTGTGATATACAAATAATATAATTAATTTTGTGTTATATATATTTGGATATACAGATAAAAAACTAAAAAAAATAATTTAGAAAAATTTGAGAGATTTTTCGGATACTATGGAAGGAAATGGAACCTAATTTCTAGGATGATGGTTGTCAGAGGCAGATCAAGGATTTAAACTTTATGGGTTCAGATCAGCAATGCTACCACATCTCATCTAATTTAATAGGTTCAAAATTTATTATTTATATATATTTAATAATTTTTTGGACAAAAATACAAGGTATGAGCGAAGCTATGGGTTGAGTTGAACCCATAGCTTCTACAGGGGCGGCTCGACATAATATGGGCCTAAGGCGGAAATAAAAAGTGAAGCCTTAAATTATTTTTTTACTCTTATAATTTATCGAAATCTAAAGAACTTATAATCAGTTTTAATTATTGCCAATGTCAAACCAATTTATTTTATCTCTCTTGTGTTATCATATAGAACTTTATTGATTTAGTTTTGAAAAACTTTTTCAACCGAGGCAACTGATATAGAAATTGTTAATGGTAATTGAATTTACACTTTTAACTAATTGAGTTTGCCAATTAGAATATTCTTCTACTTATACAGTTTCTCTTACCACTTTTAATTCTAAATATAAGTTAAAATAAGTAATATTGTAGTAACTACTATGTTTCAAGAGTCATTCAATGTTAAAGATGAATTTTAATAGTCACTTATCAAAGTAGCTTGAATAATATCTACAAAGGCACTTAAAAAATTAAGAAAAATTATTCTAAACTAACATTGTAAGAAGATCAATTTAGTCGAAAAGGGAATCACTTGCTTGATCAAAACTTTAAAAAAAAATTAACGAATTGAAATTGAGTTGTAATAATTGTTGTTGATGGTGTTAAAATTTAAAAGAAGAAAAATCTCGATCACATCGATCATCGCGGCAGAAATAAATTCCAACAAAGAGAAAGTACTTGTGCTTACTATATACTAAAAGGAAAGCCGCTTTTGCCAATTAATATAAATCCCTAAAACTAGTAAGGGAACCAGTACACATGCTAGATTGCATGATGCAAGAAGTCGACTTTAAACAAGTACTCTATGTGTTCTAGTGTATGTGAACTTATTTTTATTTTGGCCCGTTTCAAAAAGATTGATCCTTTTTTAAATTTGAAAATAATTTAGATTAAACTTTTAATTCTACCTTTAACTATAACCACACAAATACTCTGCCATGTTTACCACCACTAAGTTTCAAAAGAATTATAGTCATACAAATATTCTGACTTATTTAGGTTCACAAATTCCAAAAATCTTCATTTTTTTCTTAAACTTCGTGTCAAGTCAAACATATTCGTATAATTGGAACGGAGAGAGTAGCAAGAGAAGTTCTCTCCATTTTCAGTAGCACTAAATATGAAGAAAATGGGTGCACGAAAACACTGGTTTTCACGGACTTCAGCAGCTTGTTTAAGTAAAATAATTTTACGTACTTTGCATTTGATAGAAAAATAAGCAGTTAAGCACCATATATAGTTAATATTGAATTGTTGATCCATCTTGAGATTTCTTTTTCCAAATGAGAGCATTTTAATTTAGTTAATTAATATGATGTCTCCCAAGTTGCCTCTCGTTATTCATGGTATTTCAAACATTTTGTTGGAAAAAAACACAAGAGTAGAGTAGTGGCATACACAATTTGAGATGTTAACTCTTCGTTTGGTGATCAGAGACATGTTCAAGTTTTTCCTTTCTTTTGTTTGGTTATTAAAAGGGAAATAATTTGAAAGAAAGCAATATCCTCTGGTTCCTTCTTCTTTAGCTGGATGAGAAGTGAGTTTAAGTTGTCCTTTCTCCGCCACTTTCTTCTCGACCCAAACTAAGTACGACTTCCTTAGTTGCAAAAAGATTGGCAATATTTCCTTAATAAAAAAGCATTTATAATCACACAAATATTCTGGCAGGTTTAAGACTACAAGTTTCAAAAAATTTACAGTCACACAAATGTTATGGCTTATTTAAGACCACATATCTCAAAAGTCTTTCCTTCTTTATTAAAATTTGTGTCAAGTCAAACTAGGACAATCTTGTTGAAATGTAGGGAGTAATAGAGTAGCTAAAAACAAATTTGTTTATCTTCATTTTCATTTACTATTCTATTACCCCTGTTTTTCTCCTCCCTTGTTTTACTTTTGAAGAATAAATAATTGAGTTAAATTTCTATGCACTAATTTAGTCGCAATCACCTAACATGTAATTACATGCACATCTCATGATAACCATTACTAATTGCTTAGTAAAAATTGTAACTAATCTACTATAACATGTTAATTGTATATATTATTTAAATCCTAATCATATTGTTCATAACATGAATCTATACTTTCTAACTTGCAATCGATAACAAATACTTAGATGCGTTTGGAATCAAAATGACTTGTTAAATAGTTCTTCCTAAGTTTTTCTTGTATCTTGGAAATAAACAGCTGATTTATTTATAGATGACTGATGTATTCATTCCCTCCCTATCTATTACACTACATCTCGACATGTTTCCTAAACTAATTCAGCATGTCTGAAGAATTGCATATCTTATTTGTATGTGGTGTCAACCTCATCTGATCAAGCATATTTTACTAGTATTAAATTATAGGAAATTATTTTTGTCCAAATGTTTGGAGAGAATCATCATACTTTTTCACATCAACGGTAGTCATGATTTTAACGGGTACTTCAAACTGATTTTACAAATATGGCCAAACGGTTTAAACATATGATTTATAATAGCACGATTTCCGTCAATTCAAAACTAGAATATAATAGGCTCTAATATTAAAAGATTATGACACTTAAATAATACTTAATCTATTTCAATTTAGGTGACTGTAACTTATTAATCTATTGCAACAAAATAACATTTTTTTACATTAAAATTTTCAAAAATCTTAAAGCTACGGCAACACCTAACTTAATTTTGCATCTTATTAACATTTTCTACAAAAGGAAAATATCTGTTAAAGCTGGTTGCATAACATAATCTTGATCGAAATTTACTTGATGATTGCATAAAATTATCTTGATAATAATTTATGTATATCAGATTTCAATGTATTTTGATGAATTCTCATGAATCATGACATGATANCATCGGTTGCCTAGCCTTACGTCGCCCTTCCAAGGAACTTCAGGAAGGCGCCGCGTAACATAAAGCATAACAATAAGTTTTCATTAAACTAAAATAAATTTAAAAGGATAGAGCACTTTCAATTCAAAGGAGAGCCAACTTGTTTTATCATTCTCTGTTCATACACTCATCTCACCAAGCAAAAAAGGTACAACCATCACAGGCCCTAGAACAACATTTCTGTTTGATTTAAGCATAAACAGAGGCGCAAGAGAGAGCCATCAACAAGATAGCAGCTTGTTCTACTTCACCAAGCTTGTGAGTTGATCTTGATCTTGATCTTGGTCTTGAACTTGATCTTGATCTTGGTCTCTGCAATGCTACTACTTGTCTACCAAAAGGCAACAATAAAGAACCATTACTGCTGCTGCTGGTACTATCTCCACTGCTGCTCGTACTAGTGTTACTGCACTGGTTTTTATTTTCAGATGATTTCTTCAATTTCTTGTCCAATCCGACAAGTGCTCTTCTCTTCTTCCTGCTCCTGATCCCACACGCATTACACAATGACTGCATTCACAAAATCAATCTTTTCAAAAAAACTTTTGAAACATGTTAAAAGTACAGTATATATCTTACTGACCTTAGGGCCAGCAGGGCCACCACGCCAAAGAGGGGTTTTAGTGGTACCACAATCAACACATGTTTTGAGTTGGCTTTCGCTGTTTTCTCTTTCTCTTTGCCTCATCATATCCTCAGATCCCGAACCCTATGCCAAAAAACAATCAATCCAAATCAGACATTTGTACACACACAGAGTAAAATGGTTCAAGGGTGGATCTTGATCACTCACTTTATCACGTAGATTCATCACTTTGATCAACTGATTAACTAGAAAGACCAAGTGAAAATAACATCCAACAGAACAACCTTGATCACCACAGCTTCAATGATCACACCTAAAACTACTAATACCAAAAATTAAGCAAAACCCAGAACAAGAAATGGCAGATAAATCACACTTGATTCTTGATTTCAACTAGAAGAACAACTGATTAGACCCGCTCAAAAAATGAAAGGTTTAGCAGGAAATTAAGGGGTTTAGTAAACCGACTTGAAGAGATAGGAAGAGAGACTGCGGGAAAGATACAGAGAGACCGACACTGAAAGGGAATAGTGGTCGATCAGAGGATATAAAAATGTGGGGGTTATAAGAGGGCTTACGAAAACCCTAGGCGCGAGGGATTGTGGAAGTGACTAAGTTACCCTTGGTTACGAAAATGTTTATCCCTCAGTCGATCCGCCATTAAAATGTTCTTTTGTTATTTCTAGGGGTGGGGGCAATATGGGCACTTTAGAAACTTTTCTTTTGCCGTTTGCCGCCTTATGTTAAATCTAGGGTTTTCAAGACTTGATCACCCCGCCAAGCGACGTTAAACTTTTTTTTTTTTTTTTTTTTTTTTTTTTTTTTTTTTTTTTTTTTACATATGGGAGATTTGCTTTTACACATGAGAGANTTTTTTTTTTTTTTTTTTTTTTTTTTTTTTTTTGTATATCAAAATGAATAATTAATTAACAATATTACGAAATCTTGTCACCTACTACTACTTTCAACAGGAACAATTCTAAAACTTGCTAATCAAGCCAAGAGTATATATCACCTTGCAATAAGTGAATTGAGATATTTGCTACTAATACTCTATAACATGGATTAAGAACACTTTATATCAGGTAGGTGTATGAAGCGTGCTACACTGAGAAAAAACCCAAAAATATATATTATTTTTGGTTTTAGATTCAAAGTCATACATATTCTTCCACATGAAACACTAATAGTCTATTTACTTTAACAAAGTAGTGCACTTTTAGTCATAACACTAAACACATTTTAATTTTTAACAGAAATCTAAGATCTGACAAAATATCTGTTTCATTTATTTTCTTGTTTACCGAAAGAAATAAAGATGACAGATTTATCTAGATAGCAAATAGTAAATATACATAAAATTTATTTACTATTTATCTATTTACTATACGTAAAATATATATTTTACTAAGAAATATTAAACACCGTTAATTTTTATTTGCAATGATTTTTATCTAGATAACCTCAAATGTTATCTAGATTTTTTATTATATACATAATAT